GGATGTCAGTGTCTTGCCACAGAAATGGAACTGCAAGAAGCCTGGCTTTTCAGGTTGCAGAAACCGTGGGTACCGAGGCTGGTTCTTTTTTTCTCCCTCATAATCACTCATAAAATACCAATTGTACAACCCCCCATCGATGTCTTGTGAGACAGGGCTGGAGACAGTGACTATGTAGCATTTTAATGGCCAGAAAACTGCAGTTTTTCTTGGAGTCAAATAAAGATATGCTGCTGAGGAGATTTCAAATAATTAAAAAATCCCAGTTGGAGACGTTACTGAGTTGATTTAGAGCTGTTCTGTATGTGTACACTGAATTTGTTTGCTTTGATTGCCACGTCCCATTTGAACCAAGCAAAGCCTTCTCCCACACAGCACCATTCTACCTGGAGCTGCTGCAGGTTAAAAGCTGGGAGAGAACAGTCTGTCTGAGTTCCCTTCTCAATAAAAAAAAGGAGAAAAAAAAAAGGGGTGAAGGGAAGAGTAAAAGTAAAGCAAGAGGGGGATATATTACTCTGCAGCCCCACAGCCTAGTGCTTTTTCACTCTGTCAGTGTGTGTAAAGGCGTTTTCTAAGGGTGCTTGTTAAAGCTGGTGTTCTGCAGGGCTTATGAGGGGGAATGTTTCCATTTCTGGTCTCACACAGTTGCAGGTGCAGAGAGAGCCAAAGCTGTCACTTGTGGCACTTCCAGAGAGGTGTGGGGCACAAGTCCTGGGGAACATCCATTGGTGAGGCCGCAGCTGGAATATTGTGTCCAGTTCTGGGCCCCTCAGTTCCAGAAGGACAGGGAGCTGCTGGAGAGAGTCCAGCGTAGGGCTACAAAGATGATTAGGGGAGTGGAGCATCTCCCTTATGAGGAAAGGCTGAGGGAGCTGGGTCTCTTTAGCCTGGAGAAAAGGAGACTGAGGAGTGACCTCATCAATGTTTACAAATATGTAAGGGGTGAGTGTCAGGAAGATGGAATTAAGCTTTTTTCAGTGATGACCTGTGATAGGACAAGGGGTAATGGGTGCAAATTGGAGCATAGGAGGTTCAAGGTGAACATCAGGAAAAATTTTTTTCCTGTGAGGGTGCCAGAGCACTGGAACAGGCTGCCCAGAGAGGTTGTGGAGTCTCCTGCACTGGAGTCATTCAAAACCCGCCTGGACGCCTTCCTGTGTGATGTACTCTGGGTGACCCTGCTCTGGCAGGGGGGTTGGACTGGATGATCTTTCGAGGTCCCTTCCAACCCCTGTGATTCTATGATTCTATACATAAAATTTCAGGTGCTAGGGAGGATTAGAGGGGGTATTTTTGACTGTTCTCCTAAATTGAGCGGCCTAATACTGCAGAGTGCAATTTGGGATTTAGGGGTTTAAAAATTCACTCCTTACATTGAAAGTTTCTTTTTCACTGGAACCAAACTGAGCTCAGCTTGCAAAAAAAAAACCCAAACCCTGTTAGTCTCATACATTTTTTCCCCCTTAGGACTAGTGACTGCAGAAGCTGGATACCAACCAAAGTGGAAACTAACCAAATTGCCTAATTCTCTGTGCTCAGCTCTGCTCTGATTGAAGTCAGCAGTAGACAAATTAGACCTGAAATTATCATTTTGGGGGAAAAAAAACTATGGCAGACAGTACTTTTCTTCCTATAAGCTCCCTGAAAAACATCATTCAGAAATAAATTTCACTGGCAGTTTTCTACATAAAATATAGACTGCCTATGCTAAAAATATGCACTAACAAACTACATTCAGCAGATTGAGACTGACTTGCAATTCTAAACATGTGATTAAAGGAAAATGTGTTTATTGTTAGAATTGTAGTGGAAGGCTAAACAAATCAGCTAATTAAAGATATTGGTGGTTTGGGGGCTCGTCTGCTCTATTCTTTTCCTGCACGTCCTACCCATACAGCT